GAAGGTACAGTCTGCCTCATAACAGCTGCTCAACAAATGGCCACATTTCCAAATCTATAAGCATCAATTACTAGCATTCATTTTTTATTAAAGATCTGTTTTTCACAAAATGATGATGAATGAATTAATTTAATGAAGTGAACATAATGAACAAGTTTTTATGTCTACAAAAAACAATAGCAAATGAGAATAGCATTGATTTAATTATTGGTTCCCTCTTAGAAGTTAAAAGATATAACTGGATTTTAGTGATCTCTCAAACAGAATGATATCACAGATTTCTTCATCTCAAAATCAGTCACTCAGCCTATCTGTGTGGAGAAAAGTACTCTCTTAGGGGCATTTTGTGCAGCACAATGAACATGGACCACAGAGTGGTGCGACAGCCTAGAGGTGGAGCTCTCACCTCACAATCAGGAGGCTGTGAGTTTGATCTTAGATAGAGGCAGATGTTTCTCCCTCTGGGCACAATGAGAATATATCTGCTGCGAACTCCGCACTGGCGATAGGAAGGGATCCGGCCAGTAAACACTCAGCTCCATTCAGTTACCCTGACTCTACTCCGATGCAAGGGACTATGGGATCATTAAAAGACCCCCTCTCCAAAAAAATGAACATGGACCACAGAAAGAAAAGCAGAGAGTTGCCAAAGGGGGAAAAAGAAGATGGCAATAGCCAAACATGATAAACCATCTCCATGTTGGTTTGTTCATGTTCTTGTGAACGTAATTTAAGGTCCATGGGACTGTAGCCACCTCCCAGGACAAAGCTGCAAGGGAAAAACTGACTTCAGATTGAACAGAAGGATAGTTTGAAAGGTGGAGACAGAGCCAATGAAATTTCAAACAGATTCTAGGTGACCTCCAAAATTAAGTATAACAATGTAAGTCACAGCTTCCTTCACAGTCTGACTGAAAAACCTCTCTGATAGAAGACCCAGGAAGACCCTACTTCCGAAAGACAGACACATAAAAAAGCCAGACTGGAATTTCCTTAAGTGCATGTTTGCAAGCCACGGTCCTTCTGACAGGATATCCGTTGGACATATGAAACAAAATCAGAGTGTTTTGGTAAGTCACAAGAGGTCTTTGTTCACAGAAAGAAAAATTATGCTTTTTTTTAAAAAAAGGACACAATCCTTACTATGAAACATGGAGAAGATTCCACAATGCTATGGTTGCTCTGCTACCTTTTACATTGCATGCCTGGAATCTGTGCAGGGCACAATGAAATCAGAAGACTACTAAGGCATTCCAGAGCAAAATATAATGCCCACTGTTAGAAAGCTCTGCCTTAGTTGCCTCTCACAGGTCCTCCAGCAGAATAAGGACCTAAAAAATGCACCTTGGAAAATCCAAGAATGGTTGAAAAGCAAGCAATGGACTGTTCTGAAGTAGCCTGCTATGAATCCTAATCTAAGTCCTATCTGGAAAGAGTTAAAACTCACAGTTGGAAGAAGGAATCAAACCTAAGACAATTGGAACCACTTGTTCAAGAAGACCATGACAAATTACCAGTTGACAAGAATCGAAGTCTTATTGAGAACTGCAAAAAGTGTTTGACTGTAGTTATTGCCTGAAAAAAAGGTGCTATGAAAAAATAGGTTGGAGTGCCATAATTATTTCCATGACATTTTCATTTTTTTTATTATTTGCAAGAATATGTTCAGTCATTCATCAAAAGCAAAATGCCTATTCTTTGGATTACATAGTTAAAAATATTGGGTATCATTTATTCGTGTCACTTTCAATTTATTCACAACAAATTGAGATTCCTTGGTGGTGGTGGGGAATGAGAATATTGATACCTTTGACCAGATTTGTACTCCCAAGGCATGAAAGTCATCTCAGGCTACCTAGCAAAAACAAGTAGGCTTGTATACTGGGCAGCAGTGATACAGGAAGATGCTGGAGGGAGATGATCGCCACGGAAAAGGCATCATTTCATACCATGCTGAAAAAAGCAGTGGTAAACTATTCCTATATTTTACCAAGAAAGCCATAAGGACACGCCCTACTGAATGGCATTCAACATGTTACTAAGGAAGAATTATTCATTTTTCAGAGTACTAATGTGTTTATGTGCTGGCTAAATTAAAGCCTTTAGGATGTTTAGTTGTTGATGTTGCCATGAAGGAAGAGAAAATCTGAAGCTAAATGTGGAGTGAATACGGCAAAGCTCAAACTATGAAAGATGAAGTAGATAGACTACAATCTGACACACTACAATCTTACTACTCAAGATATGAAAATCAAAGAAATAATAGTATTGTTTTCATAGGAAGGATATAACAAGGACAATATTTGGGAACTGATATTATCTATTAGAGTTTGTGGACAACATTTTAATATGATTATTCAAGTTTATGCAGCAAGCATTGATGTAGAAAAAGAGGAGACTGATCAATTTTACGGTCAGGTTCAATTTGAAATTAATAGAAAATCCAAGATGTGCTGCTTATGGCTGGAGACTAGAATACCAAAGTTATTCAGATGGAAAATATTGTTGGATTCCATGGCCCAGGAATTCAAAATGAAGCAAGAAAATGACTTCTGCCCATTCAATGATTTCTTCATCACTAACACAACCTTCTAACATCCAAACTGATACCTATATTGCACTGCTCTATAACAGCTTTCATTTCACATGTTAGCAAAGTAATTATGTTTAATGCTGATGGATGCTAGATAATTGAAAATGTCACAGAATATCAGAAAGAAGTCAATATGGGCTTCACTTATTATGGAAAGATCTTTGGTTATGCCAAACATATTAAGCTGTGGAATATTCTCAGAAAATGGCAATTCCAGAACTGAGAAAGTATACAGAGGCCAGAAGCCACAGTCTGGATGGAACAGGACAAAGCAGATTCCAGATTAGTAAAGGATTGCAACAAAGCCACATACTCCTCCTCCATTATTTATTCAATCCATATGATGAATGTATCAAGGGAAGCTGGTTTGGAAGAAGATGAGTGTGATTTCAGAATTGGAAGAAGAATCATCAATAACCTGCATTATGCAGATGACGCTACTCTAACAGCTGAAAATGCAAATTATCTGGAAGCTCTAAGTAATACAAACCAAGGAGCACAGTGGAAAAATGAGACTAAAAAGACCAAATTAATGACAACAAATACAATAAACAACTTTAAAATTGACAATGAAGATATTTAAGGTGGGTAAATTCTGCCACTTGAGATTGACAGTAAAATGACCAGTAATCAAGACATTGACCAAATAGTAGAACTTGGGAGGCTAGCAATAAAAGCTTTGAAAAAGTTATTCAGATGCTATAACATATGTATACCTACAAAAGACCAGCTGCCTAGAGAAGACTCCACTAGGGGAAAAATGGAAGAATAGAAAAAGATGATCATCAGCAAGATGGATGGACTTGATTACATCAGCCTGCACAGTAGTACCTAGGTATTCATTGTTAATTGGTTCCGGGAGACACAATGAATACCAAAAATGATGAATACCAAACAATTTTTTCCTATAAGGAATAATGTAGGGAGTCACAAGACAGACAATGACAAGTTATAATTTGTGCATCAAGTACCAAACCAAATGATGAGTACCAGGACAAACTTTTCATGTCAAAATGCATTGACTATCAAATTCAATGAATTTCAAAGCAATTGAGTACTAAGGTACCACTGTACAATGTGCAGTATATGAATAAGAACCAAAAATATAGCCCTTACACTTACAGGATTCCAACATAGAACATGATACGCTGTGTTGAGAAGGGGAGCAGAGATACACTATGAGGTAGAGAATCTATTGCACTTCTGCTGATACCACTGGTGGCTGGCCCATGTTGTCTATGCAGTGTATACAAGAACTTGAGTGGTCATGCGGGACATTTTTTGAGTGGCAAATTACATTTATCAAGCACCAGACTTGGTAAAGTGAGAGTATAAATGGATGAAAATTGATGAGGGTGATTAAATACTTATGCTCCCTTTGTTATTTCTCTGCTTAATTTCTCTTTCTCTAACCAAAGTGTGCAGCTTCTCTAGCATGCGAAGCCAAATAGAACTCATTCCTAGTAACCCAATGAAGACATACCATATTTTTCACACTATAAGACGTGCTTCCCCCCCCCCCCCAAAAAAAATGTGGGTAGAAATGTCTGTGCGTCTTATAGAGCAAATGTTGCTGAAATCCCACCCACCTGCTGGCCCCCACCCTTCAGCCTCTGCCTCCCAGCAATTTGCCCCCTTGCAGCAAACAGCAAACAAGCTGGTCAGCTTCAGCACAGCCTGATTTAGCACGACCAGCTGATTGATGCTTGGATCCTCCTTCTGGAATACCGCCGCCCATCACCACCATCGCTGTCCATATATGGCATATATGGCAGCAGGATATATAGCGATCAGCGGTGCGATCCCCGCCACCTGGAACGGGCCAAAAACAGGATGCGTGGAGGCCAAAAATGGGGCTCATGGAGGTGGTGAGGGGCAGCGGCAGCAATGGACAGAAACAGCAGCGATGGGCGGTAGCGATCCCCCCAGCCTGGAACAGCTGATCGGTGGTATTCCGGGATGTCAATCGAACCACCAATCAACAGCTCATGCTAAATCAGGCTGTGCTGAAGCTGACCAGGCTATTTGCTATTTGCTGCAAGGAGGCAAAATGCTGGGAGGCAGAGGCAGATTATTTCTTCTTGTTTTCCTCCCCAAAAGCTAGGTGGTCTTCTGGTCTGGAGCATCTTATAGTGCAAAAAATATGGTAGATACATTACTGCTTCCCTTAGTGAGAAGGCAATGTTAATCAACTGTGAGTATCTCTAATACGTTTGTGCTGAAACCAAGCAATGTTCAAAAAAGGTAATTATTTCAGAATTCTGAATCAATAAATCCATGCTGAAACACACTCTGTTGCTTCTTTTATTGGTGAGCCCCACTGGGGACAAAGATACTACACTGAGTTAGGATTAGCCACCTAATAAATACATAACAATTAGTTCTATACACAAAGACATACACTCACCTAACGTCCAGTAAGTTACGGCTTCCAGGTGTGAAATGCTACTGTAGATAGCATGCATATACATAAAATGAATCATCAATTCCGCCAACCACCACCAAATCAAAATACGAATGGCTCCCCAGATGAAAATAGATAGATTGGACTTCCAATTGCAGGATTGTTGTTTGCTCATCTGTATTAGAATAAATTAAACATTAATGCTATATAGAATTGGATTTTAATTGACTATTGTGTCAAACAATTTTTTCTTTCCTTTTTAATTCCAATCGGAATCTTTATTTAGTCTTTGTGTTTGAAAATTAAAACATGTAAACAATATAAAATATATTGTGCTTGCTGATAGTCTTGGGTTTTTGTAATCTGAAGAACATATGCATTTAATTGTAATACAGGAGATAATAAGGGAATTTGCAAAAAATGATAAAACATACAAAAACCACGACTCTGGGGAAAATCAGTTTTCAGATGGATGGGACTGTTTAATGGACAAATTGAGGCATGAGGAATATGCCCTTGCAGCAATTGTGGTTTTATCAGAACATCCCCACAGCAATCGCTGAATCTCAAGTTACACATGTTTCTTCTAACATACATATTTATAATACATCTCAGTTACCAGTGCTTCCTATAGAAAGCTATCATTGTTCTCTGTAGATAAGAGAAGGGCAGGAAGTAACCTGAGATGTCTTACAAATACATATGCATGCATCAAGTCATAAAACTATTTAAAAGTCAACATTAGAAACAGATTTAAAAATAAAAAAGCAATAAAAATAAAAAAGTACGTTTAAGAAGCTAGAAGCAGAAGGAACATCCTCAAGCCACCCAACACTCCCAGAGGTTGTCTAGCACTAGTAGATCCCCATGCCTGTTGGCAGAGCCAGATCTTCTGGGCTTTTGCTATCCACATATTAATATTGTCACCAATACTGCAGATAATGTGATTCAATGATTCCTCATATTTGATTCAGGGAGCACTCAGAGTCACAAATGAAGCAAATGGTCACACACTAACTCTTATTAGATGTGAGGATTCTCACCAAACATTTCCTGTGGAACACTGAAATTTTATAAGAATGGTAATCTCTTAAGATTACAAACTTTTAAAAGTATTCCACTAGCACCACTTCGAAGCAGGTAACATGTGTGCCATCTTGCTCCCAAAAGCCATATTCACTGATAATGTTTCTTACATAATTGATTTCCTTAAAGAAAATATATTTCTAATGCCCTCTTATGAAAAAAAATACATGTAAACAGAATTAGTTTCAGTTGAATATCTATAATAGGAGTGCAGCCTTATGTAAAAATTCCTTTTCTGGTGTCAAACATCAGATTTTTAAAAAGACTTTTGCCAATTCAAATTAATGATGTTAGTCACCTACCATTATTAATTCTCTTTTAAAATAATATTTCTGTGTGTACTTTAAATTCTCAGTCACACGGCATCATGAATTGTATGATTTTATTATTACATAAAAGAATGAATTCATCTAGCTTTCTTAGCATAAGAATTCCCTTGCCTCGGGCATTTTGATAATGATATACAACATTTAGATGTTGGATTACATGGATAAGCTCCTAACCTTTCAAAAAAAAATGTTTTACATTTTTTAAAAAAATAAACATCTTACTTTATACCACCAGTGAACTATGATCATTGTCTTTACGTTTATGACTTTCTCTACATTCAGCTTATGAAAAGTAAGCTAATTTCCTTGAGAAAGTTTGATCATTCTGTAATATTTCATTCAAACTGTAATAGCTGGTAGAACTCATTCCAAAGGGAACTATGATATATTTGAATATCATCAACATTCAAGCTTTTATCACCTATTCAGATAATAGTTTCTGAAACAAGCTTTTTGTTCTCGATGGATCAGGGAAGAAATATCATGTTTCCAATCATTTAGGCAGAACTGGGGGAACGACAGTGGAGGGTAATATGACTTAGATATAGCAATTTTATATTTTGTACAACTCTACAAAATCATTTAAAAGGATTATATTGAACTCCAGCTCAACAAGATTACTGATCTCCTCCTTCTCTAAGACCATTGTAGGCTTTTGTTCTATTAAATATAAAGTAGAATTCTGGGGACTTTTTAAGAAGCTATTTCCTCAGTTGCTGTTAAAAAGGAATGAGGAAACTCCTCATTTAGCCAACTTCCAATTTCTTTACTTTATTTTTCCCCTCTCTATTTTTCTTCTGTTCGTTGCTAGGAAGTGATTACACAGATGATTGGCTTATTCTCCGTAAAGAATAGAAAATTACTTAATGACTCTTATTAAATCTTTCTGCAAGCTTGCCGGATGCTTTGCCTGTACTGACATCTTACTTTAATGACATCTTACTATCTGCAACTACTTTAAAGAAACTATCTTCAAAGTACTGTGGAGAAAAGAGGAAACAAATTCCTACAGTGTTGTTAATTCAGTTATGATGCATGCAATTCAGACTTCTTAAGGCATGTAGACACACCTGTTTCCTGTTACATAGCGAACATTAAAATACTGAACTATGGATAGCAGCTGCGATGTTTAAGGCCACCTGGTGGCTAATTTCCTTGCAAAGTAGAAAGCAACATAGTTTCAGAACTCTGCCAACTTACCGCCACTAAGTCACCATAGGTCAACTCTACACGGTCAACTCACCACTGGGACAACTCACCACAGGCAGCTAGAGGGAGATCCAGTCGGACAGGCGAATGGGTGGGCAGAAGGCAGAGCATGTTGGGGCAGGCATTTTCACACTCCTTGCTGTTGCCACACCAGGATCCAAGCAGAAGAGGCCAGGGATGGCTATGGTGGCAGTAAGGGTGGGAGGTGGAGAAGCGATGGCATCAGCAATGGTTCTGAGCCTGGTGCCATGGCAGATGCAAGCCTGGCACAGTGATGGCAGCAGCAGCAATTGTGAGCCCAGTGTGGTGATGGCAGCAGCAATAACACACTGGGGTCGGAGCCACCGACACTATCATGCAGGGCTTCAAGCCTGGCGCAGTGGTCGCAGCAGGATATGTGAAAATAGGAATCCCCCAGCTGCCACTGCTTCCCCATCATCCACCTCCGCCACTCTGTGTGCTCTGCCTACCTGCTCATTCACTTGCCCAGGTCTCCCTTCAGCTACCCATAGAAAGTTACCCCTGCAGCAAGTTGCTCTGTGAAGTTGCCCTGCAGTGAATTGGCAGCGGCAAGTTGGTAGTGGGGAGCTGGCCATGGGGAGCTGGCTGCAGCAAGTTGTCCCATCCTGATTCAAGGGAGCATACAGAAATTGATCAGAACCGCTAACAGCCTGATGAACTCAGCCCAATACCCAGTTCTAAAAAAGAGTGGTGCCTGATGAGAGGGATATTAAGAGCCTAAGAAACAGGGTTCCCCAAAGGCAGAGTAGCTGTAAGAGTACTAGGAGAGACACGTTACAACACACAAAACAATTCCCTCGTGTCAATGAACTTCCTGTGTACTAATATACTTTTCCCAAATTTTATATAAACATATAGATCTATTTTATCAACAGGAACAGCAAACTGTACTCTACTTTTCCCAGCTCCCTCCAGAGACCATTTCTATTTAAAACAAATTATGGAAACAGGCCGAATATTTAAAACATTACCCATTTAAAATCTCATCAACATGAATTTTTCAAGTACGAAAAATACAATTAAAATAGCTAATGAGAATAACCATCTAATAAAAATTCAAAAGGAATTTTCTGGCATGAATTCCCAAAGGGGCTTGTACCAAAGCTATTAAAAATTATTTCTCTGAATGCCTAAAACTCTGGTTTTCTCTCCAGGCCCCCACCCCTGACATGCAATCGGCTCTATACAGACACCTTTCATGTCTCACAGGGTTGAAGTTATTTTTGAGAAAACAGGGCTAAATCTAATAGCAAAAACTCAATATCCAATTCTAAAAATCACCATAGCTTCAATTTACACGTTCACTGATTCAAAATCAAAAGGAACAGGCTTGGCATAATAGTCTGTTCAACACAGGGAATCTAGAGTTAGTGTATATCCCAAGTCTTTCTGCTAATATTGAAGCAAAAATTTTATAACCTGCATTTAGTAGAGAAATGGGTCTATAGTTCTTAATTTGTAATGGATCGGCCTCTTCTTTTGGAAGAAGTGTAATATAGGCTTCTGACCATGATTTAGGTATCTTCTTCTTTAACATAACTTCATTCATAACTTCTAGCAATGGAAGATTCAATGATTCTTGTAATGTTTTGTAAAATTCTGCCAGAAGTCCATCTGGGCCTGGCACCTTTCCATTATTTTGCTTCTTGAGTGCTTCAGTTAACTCCATCATCGTTATATTTCTTTCTAACATTGTTTCAATCTCTTTAGGTATCTGAGGTAAATTAGCATTCTGTAAGTACTGTTTAACTCTTTCCTCATCAATATTCTCTTGATTCTTTCTCCTTTCTCAATTTGTATGCTAACCATCTACCTGGTTTGTTTGCGTCTTCAAAGTAGTTCTGTTTAGCACCTCTAATTTTCTGTGCTAATTCTTCTTTTTCTATTTGACCCATTTTATGTTTAATTATATCCATTTTTAGCTTGATGTCCTTTTCCTGTGGCATTTTCTGTAGCTCTTTTTCAAGTCTTTTATACTCATCCTCTAAGGCCTTAGAAGCTAGTCTTTTCATAGTATTCCTTTTCCTTGTATAGTCTATTATCAAGCCTCTAACATATGCCTTCATTGTATCCCATACATTCTGAATTGATGTATCTTCTTTTTTGTTTTCTCTAAAGAAAAAAGCCAATTCTTTCTCCATCCACTGTGTGAAGTCTTTTTCCTTTAAAATAGTATTATTTAACATCCATCAAGATCTTCTTTTTTGTCCTTTCGATTTAATTGTCATTGGATTGTGATCTGCCCAAGTACTTGTTTCAATATTTATTTCTTGAATATTAGTTATTAATTCTGTTGACATCCATATCATATCTATTCTGGACTATGATAAGTGTCTATTTGAACAGAAGATGCATTGTTTAGTTTTAGCATTTCTTTCTCTCCATGTATCTTTTAACTTTATTTCATCCACCATTTTAAAAAAAAGATTTAGGGAGAGTCTTTCTGTTTTGCTTTATTGTTTTCTGTGCTGTATAGTCCAATTTATTGTCTACAATTCCATTAAAATCTCCCATCATAACTATATTAGCATAGTCCAGTTCAATTATTTTCATATGTAATTTTTTGTAGAATTCTTCTTGTTTGTCATTCAGAGCATAGATTGCAGTCAGTAGTGTTTTTGTATTATTGTCCGTTATTTCCACCATTAGTATTCTTCCATCATCATCAGTATAAATCAATTTTGCTGGGGTGGTCTCTTTAATATATAAAACCACTCCTCTTTTCTTACATTGTGTCAAGGAAGTAAATATTTTCCCTAATTTTGGCTGTATCAACAATTGTTCATATTGTTTTTTAATATGTACTTCTTGTAGACAAATTATATCAAATTTTAATTTCTCTAATTTATGAAAGGTTTTCCTTCTTTTAACAGCTGAGTTAAGTCCATTTATATTAATTGTAATCAATTTTTTCTCTTCCATGGTTATATTTTGTAATTAAGTTTAGCAGCTCTCATAGATCTTAGTTCACGTTGTTCTTTGGCTTCCACCTTTCCACCAACTGCACCTTCTTCTTTTTCAGTCGCCATTTGGCAGTCCTCTTGGAATTCAATTAGTGAGATCTCTTTTTCTGCCTCTTCCTCTTTCCCTCCAAAAAATTCTGTATAAAATAATTCCGCTTTCTCAATTGAGTCAATTCTATGTCTCTGTTCTTGCCATGTGAACATTAAGCCTTCTGGAATCAGCCATCTATAATTCACCTCTTTTTTAAGTAGCATTTTAGTTAGGAATCGGTATTCTCTTCTCATCTCTCTCACTCTTCTGGGTATTTGTTTCAAGACCACAATCTCCTTGTCTTTATATTTCAATGTTTTCTCTTTTGCCACTTGCAATATTTGCGTTTTAATGGCTTTCTTTGTAAATCTAATGTGAACTTCTCTTGGTAAGCTATTTCTTATCGCATATCTTGTGAAAACTCGATAAACCTCATCTATTCCATCCATCATCTTCTCTTGAGTTATTTCCAAAGCTTCAGCCAGTATTTCTATCATTATCTCAGCTAAGTTTTGTCCTTTTTCTTCCTCTACATTTTGGAATCTAAGATAGAATTCTGATCTATCCATCTCCCATCTCAACATACCACTTTTATCTTGATCAACCACCGTTAATCTATTATCAATATCTCCAATCTTCTTGTCTCTTTGTTTATCTTCTTCTTCAATTTTTTGGAATCTCTCATCATACTTCAACATCATTTGTTGGATCTTCTCCACTTTTTCATCGGTTTTCCCTGTTCTTTGTTCAATGTTCTCTGTTCTTTGTTCAATGTTCTCTATTCTCTTTTCAATATTCTCTGATCTTGCTTGAATATTTTGAATTCCTTGCATAATCATCTGCAGAATCACTTTTTCTTGTTCTTTTTCTTGCTTTAACATTGGCTGTATTGAACGTTGTCCTCCAGATGGTGGAGAGGAAGAAGTAGAAGTTGAAGAACCAGGAGCTGTAAATTTCATTTTAACCAATTCAAAATCTTCAGGTTCTTCTAAACCTTAATCCAATTGTGAAGTAACCAATTATAGTTCAAAAATAAAAATAGTAGAAAAAAGAAGCCCAATAATAATGAAAAGAATGAAAAGAAAAAGAAAAAAAAGGGAGGACAAAATTTCTTCAGGTTCTTGTATACCTTAATCCAATCAATAGTTAGATGAAGAAAAAGGCTTGAAAAAGAAAGGGAAAAAAAGGAAAAAGAAAAATTCTTCAGGTTCTTCAACACCTTAATCCAATTAAAAGGTCTCAAATAGGAAAGAGTGCATAAGAATAAACCAGAAAGGTAGATGAAAAAACAAAAATACCAGGAAAGGGGGAAAAAATGCTATTCCCTTAAAAAAAAACCATTAATACTTAAAGGCTTTCCCTTTAAAATAAAAAGCAAACGTAGAGATAGGACTTCCAAAGAAAAAAAGAAAAACAAAGATAAGCTCCAACAAAGCCAAAAACCCAAATAGTTATTACAAAAAAAAAAAAAAAAGATAAAATGAAATACAATAAAGCTGGTGAGGAGGGATAGCACAACTTAGAAAAAGTAAAAAGAGCACACTGCACTTTGTTTAATTATCCAAGGCTGTTATTATAGCTCTCTTCTCCAAAAACTTATCACCTTTTTTTCCCCTCGGTTTCAACACCAGACTCCAGCTGTTGATAGAAACCCAGAAGAGCACCTGCAATAATACTCTCCCATGCTCTTCCCTCTATCTTATCAAATGACAATGTCCTTGAAAAAGAGTCTCAGTTCTTTCTTTCTCAGCTTTGTCTGGTCATAGGGAAATAGAATATTTTCAAGCCTCTAGTTGGCAGTGTTACAAAGTTTCTTTGCTCTCACTTTCCCCCTCCTTTTCCAAGCAAGATATAATAAGAATTGATAAAAAAAAGAAAAAGATATTTTTAAAAAAGAGATAACTAAAGGGAGCCTCTAGCCTAAAATATTACAAATTCAAAAAGGAGAAGAAAAAAATAGATGTAAATGAAAAAACCAGTCCAGTTTCAAAATACAAGATCGTGTATAGAAAATCCAGCAATGAGAAAAAAAAACATTACTTTGACATTCCTGTTTAAAATCACTGCTTAATCACTTCTGTCAAAACTTTTACAGATTCTTTCTTTTCCTTAGGGTGTCCTTTCAGATCTTAGAATAAAGAAAAAGTTCTCACCAAACTGGCACACTCTCTCTTTCTGTTCTCTTCCATTTTGGAGCTGTCCCAACTTCAGCAGCTTTAATGGCTGCCTCTTTGCCGCTGGCAAGAAGAGCTTCTCCTGGATCTACCAGGGACTTTGCGGTATCCCTGGGATTGACAGGATGCGCTCTTCATTTTCACCATCTCTTCGGGACAGTTTAGATCCAATAGGACCGTCCAGGAGCAAAGATATCGGCAGCGATCTCAGACCTCCAAGATCGCATGCCGTATCATCACGACGCCAGCTCTGCCCTCCCACACGCCTCAGCTTTTGTCCACCTAGCAGTTTGAGTAGATGCGAGTAGATAAATAGGTACCCCTTCAGTGGGGAGACGAATTGGTGCTCTATATAAGCAGTCAGATTCCTGCCAGCTCTGAACCTTCCTGGCTGCAACACCTGTTTGTGATGCAGTTCCAGGGAAGAGAGGGGAGCTTGGATAATAATGGAGGAAGACCTCCTCATCTTTTTTTCTGGTGTGAAGCCAGTTCGCCCTCCTGTGGCATATCTTGTAAAGCGTGAGAGTATGTCTCACAGCAAAGCTAGTAACTTGGCAGCCAAACTACTACTTTACAATAGCATTGTGGTCTCCTGGCTAATTTACAGTACCATATGCTAATCATCATCATCATCTGACATGTATGGGTCTATTACTGAAAAGTAAAATTGCATCAGAGTTTTTTTTTCCAGAATCATCACATTGCTAACTCATGCTTGACATTTAATTGCATTCCTAATGTTCATTCCATTCTCATCCCAATTCTATATGTTTTAGTATTTTCCCCTCTTGCATAAATGCAGACATTTATTCATAACGAATTCTGTTTTGCTAGAATGTTAAGTTAAAATCCATATAATCCAATCAACACTATGGCCATGCCTTTATTAGTGTAAAATCTGGGTTCCTCCTATTGCAGAAACCATCCAAAAGCTTTCATGCAAATTCATTTTGGTTCCTGTTGCTTTCTCCGACATGAAGTAAGTTATTAGAAAATGTCAACACAAAAACATATTGGCAAGAACATCAAAGCAATCCAAAGTGTTGTTACCTGTGTATAAAATTCATCAAAGGTGATAACAGGTCCGTTATGAAACACAGGATAGTAGAATGTATATGACAACATCCAAAGGAATGAATGCTGTGTCATCTCAGTAGTCCTATCCCAACAATATTCCAGACTGAAGCTTGTATAATAGAGACAGCGCACAATCAGGGTGAAAACTAGTAGATAGTACTCATTTTCACTGGCATACCAGCCTCTCTGAAAAAAATGAAACCAATTTGAAGATTATGTAAAAATATAGCTATTAAAGTAATATTCCGTAGCCAAAAACCTGAGATCTGCATGTGCATAGACTTATAAAAGAAAGACTCCAGAATAACTTCATATTATCCAAACACTTTCTATGGGTTTTACTGGTGAAAGGTAGCTTTAGACAAAGTTGGAATAGAGCTAACAAATTTATTCCATTGCTATAGTGTTATAGCAATAGAACTTAGACTTATATACTGCTTCACACTGCTTTACAGCCCTCTCAAAGTGGTTTACAGAGTAAGCATATTGCTCCCCACAATCTGGGTCTTCATTTTGCCAACCTTGGAAGGATGAAAGGCTGAGTCAACCTTAAGCCGGTCAGGATTGAACTGCTGGCAATCGGCAGAATTAGCCTGCAATACTGCATTCTAACCACTAGCCACTGCACCACCACAGCTCCCAATTATTTCACTGAAACTATTCTAAGCTAGCCTTAGTATGGAATTGCTATGCATTTAGGAAAAGAATCTTCCAGAAAGCAAAAGGAAAGTGTACATTATCCAAAACTCCCTTTCCTTATAGCAGCTTATGCCCACAGCATAAAGTAATATTTATTTCTTTTTACATACATATGTAAAAAGTACATACATATGCATAAGTATATACATCTCTGTATACACATACATGCTGGTGCAGATTCTCAAATAAAGAAAGCTGACTCTTTAGGAAACACTGTTTTACAGGGATCAATATTACAAATGATAAGCATATATAAAATTCTAGAACTGTTGCTTCCAACTGTACTGCAGTACTGAAGGGTACTAGATATATTTACTGGTATATGATTTTGCTGCTACTTCAGAACTACTTAAAATCCATCTGGCTTACTCTATGTCAATTTTAGGTTATTTTCATCTCCTTCACACTATGTTTTACTATCAGCCTCAGATAGGAAATCCCAACTTTAGCCACTAACCATTTAATGTTTAATATTTTTTATGCTTACATTGTGGCTATGAAGGAGTCAACCCAACTCTTGCTTTTTAAAAAAAAATATTTATCAGGTTTGGTCAATGTTGTTTTCCTTTGGTAAAATAAACGTAACTTTGTATTCGCTAATGTACATGACTACATATTTTATTTCTAAATTTCTAAATGGAAACATTCTAAGAATACTATACCATTTTCTAAGAGTGATTCCTCTAAATTTCTCAAAATCCCAGACTTTTACAAAATAATTTATTTAAACACACACAAAAATTACACGTGTATAATTACCTTCACTTCTTCTACAGCAGATAGATGCAGAGTTGACAACAGAAGCAAAGAAGTCAACCATGTAAGCACTGGATTTTTCAATTGGGCTACTAAATATGAGATACTGACATGTAGAAAAATCATAGTCAGTCCTTTGGACCCCAGTAGAAACCAACAGGCAGCAATTCCATACACCATCAGAAACCAAGGTTTGCACTGAAATGTCAGAGAGAATGCATGATGAAATGTCGTATGTGAATAAGGGAATGTTTAACCTATCACCAATATATCCAACTCTCTCAAAGGAGCTCAAAACCATATGAGGGAACGGTCAACATGTTCCAGCTTGAGAAGAATTATGTGAAAAAAATTAAGCTTAGAAGAGCTGATTACCCAATGTGATTTGTTTATTATAAAACAGTAACTATAGCATGGCTCATTTCACTCATGTAATACCACTATTCTGCAAGGTATAGTAGTACGCTTCCGGGTGCTATTCAAATTGACGTTTACTTATAAAACTTTCATGGCATGTTCTGGATGCCTATGTGATTTTTCTTCTCTTGTTGTTTTTGCCTAACTTGTAAGATCTAGAAAAGCTTAAAAGCACTGTAATCTTTTGAAATCTAGAGACCAGCATGTCACTGAAATCCAAATAGCCCTGACACTGTTGGCTTCCACAAAGTTGTAACAGTCTAGCTCTCTTATCAGATTCTGGCCTGGGATGCAGTAGTCTACTTCCCCATAATAATTTGTGAGAATTTGTTTATATCATTATCTTCTTCAATGTGCATGAAATTCTCTTTGTGTGGTTTTGTTTGTTTTTAGCTATTAATTTCTTGATGTTTTAATCCTACTGTGTAAGCTTCCTCAAGCCATTCTACTACTGAGGTGGCATACAGGTTGACAAATAAATTAAATATATACTATATGTACAACACACACACACATGCACACACACACACACACACTTAATTCATCTTTGAATTAAGGATTATCCCATCACCAAATTGTTTTTCCCTGTGCTTAAATGAGCAGCTCACTCAAAAAAAACAAAAAATACCCTCTGGCCTCAAGAAGAGTTAAAGGGTTCTAAGAGAAGTTTTAGCTGAGAAAATCACTGCAGATACATTCAGGGTACATCAACTACCCATTCAAGCTCATCCAGACATATTCACTCTACATGTCTGCCTTTGAAGACAAGAATTATTCAAACCATTCTAACCATGAAACACAATACTGTAGAGCAGACTCTTTACAAAACTTGAATATATTAGGCAAACAATGCACGTAAAAATATTATTTTCTAATGCAAATTTGAAATGGGAACAACTCTGCTGTTCTGAAAAAACACATTGTTAAGCCTGGATTCCCCAACGGGTGTTAAGGAAAACAAACTAAACAGAACGTGCAGCGAAGTCAGATAGGAAGACAGGTAAATGTGTGAGATAAGTTTTCTAGTTAACACACAGTAAAAATACAAATACGCTTGTGCTATCAAAAATATAGTTTATTCCATTTAAGAATTATAGCATAGTCAAAATAAACGGTCCATTAGTCATATATCAATTTCAGTCAAGTCTTGTCGGGGATACTCTATTTGCAAAGTCCGTGTTGAATAGCCAATGTCAGTACACTTACAATAAATCAGTCCAATCTTATCTTCTCTCGGTTGAGAAAAATCAACACTCCTATTTCTCTCCCCATTCCAGCAAGAACGCAGTCATCAATCCATCAAGTAATTAGGGATCAGTAAGCCAGAGAGAGAGAGCTGCAATTGCCTCGCTTCTTATATAGTGCTTTTACAACCACACCCTTAATTACATTCTTGCTGTTAAAGTTACACACACTTTAACTAACAAACCATGATACCATATTTATTATTTTTACCCAAAACAGTTAGGGTAAACAATGTTATCCTTAACACACATCTGCAAAGGAAAAGCACAGAAACTTGCTGTTTAGAAACAAGCAAAAATTAGTTCGCCCCTGGGCCTCATAAATTCATTTCCTATCTAAAACTGAGCACATAGATCTCTTTTTTTTCCCTTGACTTTTTTACTGTCATAGTTCAATAATTTCACCCCTCAAATTTTAAAAAGCTTATAACACAGCATCCATCCAGCACTACTCAGCGTGGAGTTCATTAGAAGTGAGCTCTGAAGGAAGATGTATGGGACCCTGCCAACTTATTCCCACTGTTGAACAACTTGAAGATAATTACTATTTTCCAAAAACAATGGGATGGGATGCCCAGGGCAAGCAGTACATCTAAGCTGAAGTAAGTGCTATTCAAAAGACTCAAAATTAATAGGCAGAAAGGAGGTGGTGAAGCTCAAAGTCTGAGTTTTCAGAAGAAATTATTCTATTTTCAGTCCTGCAATTCGAAGGAAGAAGAGGGATTCAAAGATCTTTTAGTCAGCAAAGGCCATACCAACGTTAACATGTTACCACAGTTACTTTAGGCCAGATGTATCAAATAGGGGGTGACTCCACAAGCACTTTCAACAAGCCACAGAAACTGAACGAATAGATAAAACCTAAGAAACAGCTATGAAATTATTTATTAAATATCCATGCTGCCCATCTCTCTACCAAGTGACTCTATCAGGTAGCTATCCTAGCAGATAGATAGAGCAATAAATTGACTACTATATGTTTGAAAACTCAGCCTTCTTCCAAATTCATGGGCTTTTTCAGAGAAAAATGCTGAATCTCCCTTCAGATCCATCAGACTTGTTCCAGGAAAACAAATCTTACGTAGGCGTTCCATTGCCTCCTTAACTAGGGCACATTCCTTACTAAGTTATATAACATGCCAAAACATAGAATAAGGAGCAAGATGCTTGGTTTAACATTAGAGAATCTTGCCTTACTCTTATTTATCATATTTGCCTCTACTCAGACCTACTCAGATCTCTACATGCCTGACATTATCTTATTTTGGGCCCATAACTACAGAGCAGTGTGATTAAACAGGAATCTGAGCAACAGCCAAACACTGTATGCCTTTGTTTCTCAACCTTGACAACTTTAAGATGGGTGGACTTCAACTCCTATTGCTGGCTGGGGAATTCTGGGAGTTGAAGTCCACCCATCTTAAAGTTGCCAAGGTTGAGAAAAACTACATGCGATAACACTGAGATAACTCCCAGGCTTGTGTGACATCAGGGTTGTAATATAATGCGACATGCTGCTGTGGACAAGTAAAAACATTGTAGATAGGAGACATTTTGCTTTTCTCCATGCTTCCTTTGAAAACCAATTCTCTGAACCATAACTACCACAGTCATTTTTTTTTTATGAGTGAAGTTATTCATTTGGACGTATTTTTAAAAAAGCATTCAGATGAAACTGAGGAACTACAAGCAGGAGTGGGATTCTACCGGTTCGCACCTATTCGCTAGAACTGGTTGTTAACATTCAGAGGAACCCCTCCCTGATAATCCAGGGGTGGTATTCTACCAGTTCGCACCTATTTGCTAGAACTGGCTGTTAACATTCTAATCAGTTCAGAGAATCGGTTGTTAGAAGAAATTACTAGCCTAATCCTGTAAGGAAGGCAGGAAGGAAACATTCTGGTGTTCCTTACAGAAACTGCCTTTCCATTAACCCTTATTACATTCTTGGCAGGACTAGACTTCCTGTCTCAGGAACTTCTCTGGAGTTTTTTTCCCCTCCTTTGCTGGTACTTTGCTTGTGTGGAGTGACCATTCAAAGTTACAATGGCACTGAAAAAAGTGACATGACCATTTTTCACACTTACGACTATTGCAGCATCCCCACAGTCATGAGAGGCCAGGCGAGGAGATGCGTGCCTCGATATGAGTGATATTGAGTTGGCCATGCCCAGCCAAAAACATGACCACCAAGCCACACCCACCAACTTAGCCACGTCCATAGAACTGGTTGTTAAAAAATTGGAATCCCACCCCTGACTACAAGGGTTCTCTCTTTCACACTGGCATGAAAGTAATGTTCTTATTAAAATTGATAAAAATATTCACAGGCCTTGCTTAATTAAGATGATCAGTAGGAACTAGCATATTAAAAATCATTCTGACAGCACTGGCTTCAAATCAACAAACTAAAACAATTATTTTCATTTTAAAAATAATCGCACAACTGCTTTCATTGTAATTATAGCAACATTTTACCTGTTACTTGTAACCCTCCCACAAGGTATTTTTAAAATGTGATATTATTCAGATAGACAGTATACTTAGATTGCTGTCCTATACTGTCAATGAGAATATAGCTTCAAATAGTTCAGTGACTATTTGAAGTTACAAAGGTGCTAAACAAATTATACCTATGCCCAGACCTCAAAGTTATGGCCATTGCAGCACCTCTGAAATCCGGTGATTAAAATTCAATCTGTATTTACAACTGCAAGGTGCGCTTCAAGTCCCCCCATCTGCCTATCTGGATATGAGGAGTTTCTTTGGAATGCTGACACCCCACCTCTGCCCTTTTAGCCACCCAGTTACCCCACCATTCCTGCCACTCTGCCAGGCACCCTTGCCACCTTGCCCTGTGTTCTGCAAAACCCCTGCCTTCTTCTTCCCGCTACTGATGAGGTGTGCCTGGCTTCACAAAGGCATGAGCAGCAGAGACCAAGGTGGAGCTTGTGGGGGGGGCACCAGGGTGTAGGGTAGAGCACAAAGTAGCAGGGGCAGCTGAGCGCAGGGCAGTGGTGGTGCAGGGCAGAGTTCAGAGTGCAGCACAGGAATGGCAGGACAGCAAAACACAAGATGATGGAGGCAGTTGGGTACAGGGCAGCAGAATGCAGGGTGACAGAGACAGGGGAGTGCAAGGAGGCCGGGCAGACTGCAAAGTGACAAGGGCAGCAAAGTGAAGGGTTCCAAGATAGAAGGGGAAACAGAATGCCTCATCCTAAAAACACTCCGTTCCTATTTTTACCAAGACATCATGCAAATAAAATACAGCATTTTTTTTCTAAGGAACACTATAATATCACAACCGCTACCTAGGGGAAATTCAGTGCAGTGATGTTCCCATATATCACATTTATTTCTTCCGATAGTCAAATAAATAAAACAAATAAAGGGAAGACAGAAAGAAGAAATGAGGGCTATCAGTCAAACTGTCCTCATATTGTCTTTCTTTTAAAATGTGACCCTCTCCACATATTTTTATTTGAGAGACCTCAACATGATTCAAGGGCATCAAAGCTGGACTCTTATACTGGGTTATACTGTATGTGCCAAAGGAAAGACTGAAGCAACTGAGATTTGCACTCCTGGATGCTTCTTCATAATGATCAGGAACCTCAACTGTTTGGAGCCCCTGTTACAGTAGAGAATCCAGAAGCATTGCTGAATCCCTTTCAATCTTTGATGAACACAAAGATGGTGTTCATGGAGGGAACCAATACCATATTCACAAGAAAGCCTTTCACATGAGTAACATATAAACAAGAAGAAACACCTGATTCAGTTGTATCCCAGTGTCCCACACAGTCACCAGTCTGAAGCATCACTGAAGGGAAGATGCAAATACAACAGCAATAACAAAAACAGACAAACTATATCATTTAAGCATTTATATTCTAAATACGGATTATTGTAGTTTTAGTTACAGGTTATTATAGTTTTAGTAGAAAGCAAATGAGAAAATGTTTAGTAGAAAACAAAATCACATACCTTTTCCATGTAAATGCTGGATACCAGTGATACCACCAAGTGGCCAAAAAGAAGCCACAGTATATATCCTTTGCCCCATTCCATCCAGAAACTCCATTCAAAATCAACTGGATCCTAGACATCAAGAGAACCAAATTGTCATTAAACTTTTTTGAAATCTACTTATAAAGAAATGGAACATTTAAGGTGTTCAGTATTGAAATTCCTATTATCTCCGAAATGTTTCCATATTAGCTGAAGATGAAGGATACACATCATGGAGACCCAAACCTGAGAAGCTTATATCACATTGCTATAATATTTCATACTAGCAACCATAAAAAATACAATACTGTAACACAAATGGATTTATTGCATAGAACACAACAGTAAGACTTAGCAAGACTTTACCCGCTTATTCTTTTATTTCTTTTTTTTTTCCAGTTATAAGAATCCCATAAATAGCCTGTAAGTAGTGATTTCAATGACAGCCAGTTTGGTATAGTGGTTAAGGCAACAGACTAGAAACCCAAAGATCATGAGCTCTATTCCCATCTTAGGCACAAAGCCAGCTTGATGACTTTGAACGAGTCACTTACTCTCAACCCTAGGAAGAAGGCAACAGTAAACCATTTCTTCTCAAGAAAACTACAGGCAAGCACCAGGAGTCAAGACTAGCTCAAATGCACAAAATAACAACAATGAATGATTTCTATATTATACGTTATAGAAACTTTGGACATGAGCAGAGAATATAGTAGTAATAATACAATGACAGCATTGAAGAGTCAATCTCTATAGTTATAAGCAGGCTGCTAGCTTTCTTATTACCCCTATCTTGCCACTTAGATATAAGAACCTAACAGTGTGGGAAATGCATTAATTTATTTATTTTCTAATTTATTTCCAATACATGCAGTTGCAAGAACTCTAGCTACGTGAATTTGCCACTTTCTGCTATACTCTAGGTTTCAGCACTTCAATGCAATATCTTTTGCTTCTTTTTGAACAAACCTTTTTATTGTAATACAAAGTTCACTGCAGAGGCAGTTCCATGTAGGTTCACTAATGCTAATAAAAGCTAGCTTTGGTGGCTGGCTGTAAGGCGTTCTCACTTGGTTGCTTCTCATTTCTATCGCCTGATATTTTTTAAGTCCAAGGTGGACACTCCCTTACACTTCCTGAAGACACCTTCACATAAGATCATTATTGGAAGTCCAATACCAACATATAAAGCTGCCTATCTATCCAATGAAACCATGGGTGGCAACGTAAGACATAAAACATCGACACTTATAAAACATACGCACATGCATAACACAAAACCAAGCTGAGGGCCTTTCATTAAAATTTCTTCTATGCCATACATAATGGGCAGCTGCAGAAGAAAGGGCCCAATTCCTGGAGGAAAGATCAGGATTTCATGGCCTTCAAAAAGGTAAGAATGGGGTCTGCATTTTTGGGAGCAGGCACCATAACAGGGAGGGCAATATTCCATAGGAGCCCACAGTTGACGTTGCCTCACTCCACAAGACCTGATGCTATGGGCGGAAATCACTGGGTAACTGCAGTCCCACAAGGATGCAATGTAGATAGCAATGGTCAAAGGCATCTGTATTTTAGTCTCAAAATCTAGTAGGCCAGATATCATAGCCATTACAAAAAGTTGACTACACTGCTACATAGTTTTCTTTTTGTTTCCAGAAATAGCTGCCAACAGCAAGGAACATTCCCAGTGGTGGGCTGCAACCGGTTTAACAACCGTTTCTGTGAGTGCCCTATCACACTTGTGCACAGAGTTAATAATACAGCAATTTGAAGCTCAGCTGCAATTTGAAGCTCAGCTGCTTACCTTCTAGGGCAGCCCCAGTAAGTAGAACAGCTGAGGTGCGGAAATCAACTGTGCCCGTGACTCAACTGAGCCAGAAAGAAGGAAATATAGGACAGGATAGGGCGGGAGCAGGTGGGAGGGGCCAGCTGATGGTCGGAACTACCAGTTGGCTAAAACCAGTCTGAACCAGCAGCAGCCCACCACTGAACATCCCTATATTCACAACAGTGGCAAATATCTGTAGCTCAGGCAGTGGTGGTATTCGACCAGTTCTGGAGAGCCGGTAGGAGCGATGAACAGCGGAGACTGAACCAGTTCTTTCTGCCGCTCTGCTGTTGGGTCCATCCGCCTGCCCGAACTTCTATACTCACTTTTATCTGCTGAATTTGAAGCGCAGCTGCTTTGCGCGGCACAGAATAGTGCCATGTGGCAGCTGCTGAAGCGACCAGGATCGTGCAGGTTTGCAGGAGGCGAGTTAGAACACCTCTGCACCTGCGCAAAGTGCGCATTTGGCATGCGTGTGCCTGCAAAGTGTGGGCACGCGTGCAAAGCGCGCCCACCAAGCCATGCCCACCAAGCCATGCCCACTGAACTGGTGGCAACAGTATTTGAATCCCACCACTGAGCTCGGGTGTAGGATGAGGGTGAAGGTTCGTTCTCCTAGCTTGGGGGTTGGTTTCCGAACGTTCCAGGCTAGGTAACATCTTCAGTGAAGTTTAGGGGATGTCAGTGTTGTCATGGTACAGCTTAACAAGGGAAAGACCTACCCACTGCCCTTGTGTTCAGATGTTGACACAAAGGTATCACCTGAACAGGAGGAGACAGATGCTGTGAGAATGCCCCTTTCCAAAACGCACCATTCGGCTCTGGACAGAAGCTACTGCTAATGCCAGCTATTATACTTAACTTTATACTTCTTACTTATATTATACTTCTGACTTTACCAGAAACTCTCCCTTACCAAACCACTGTGGCTTGCATTTAAAAAGAGATGTTAAGTCTGTTTATATATTTAAAGTATAATGAGAGAATTTATCCATTTAATAGAAAAGGAGAAATAGGGAATTCTCCCGCCAAAAAAATAAATAAATGGGCCGCTATCAAAATGATGGCTGCAACTAATTGCCATTTGGCTGGTGAAATTCTCTCCCTGAGTAGCCTTTTCCAAATATTGCATCAGAGAGGGAAGCAAAATTCTTTTATTGGTCTATGACAAACTGCCATTTGATAGCTGCATTTATTTACATATTTTCTTCTTTATGCCTACATTTTATTGTAAGTCACTATTTCAAACAGCAGAAAATTAGGAGATAGCAACAGATAAACAAAATTATTTCCTTTTGTCTCCTAATGCTTCCCTTTCAAATTGCAAGGTAATATTCACTTTTGGAATCTATTTCCAGGAAACCTGCCAAGAACAACACATCCTTTGCACAGTGTTGATCAAAAGGAATTTCCAAATTAGAACAGAAAGCAGACAATCATCACTGTCTGTGTTTATGCTTCCATTATTCCTTGAGCAGTGTGGCACAGATTTCAGATACATGTCCCAAGAATTGCTTTCTTGCTTTAAACTCAAAATATGTTGCCATAAAAGTTTATAACACAACAAATAGCTTTTACTTCTCAACATCTGTAGTCCTGTAATATGAGAAAAGAAACTATTGTGCAACAGCTAATGGCCCTTTCATATTAAATACAAAAATGTGCGTATGCTATAGGATTTTCATATAAGTGCTGGCTCTATTTAACAGAGAAGCAGGCAGTCAGAAAGTGTCACAAGCTAAGCTATAATAAAGACCATTAGTTATCATTGGCTGAGCTATCCTCGTCCTATCAATTACCCTCCCCCCATTATAGTTCTTGTTTAGAGGCTTTGTACAGTGACTGTTCACAGTTACAATGATGATGAAAAAATAACTTTCAACCAATCCTCACATTTATAACTTTCACGGGTCTATAAAGGAAAGGAAAGCTGAAGTATGATGGTAAGCACAGTCACAGTTTCACTTAATGACTGCCTGACTTAACAATCAGGTTGCTGGGTTAGGGTTAGGGTGGCCAATTGTGATCACTAAATGAGGACTACTTGTATTGTGCTACTTCTGCTTCTAAAAAGGAGGGAACACAAAAGCACACAAATGTCAACAAGAAACATGCTGAGCCTTGGAAATGCACAGGCATTTGAGAAATCAATATGCCACCGGAAACACAGGAGCCTCAGGAAAGGAATCAGTGAGTGAGTTGTTCGAAAAAGTCAACTGAAACAAAGAAGAAAGCAGGGGTGGGATTCAACTGGCATTACTACCAGTTCAGTAATTACGTTTTGCGCACAGAGGAAAAGTATACATAGGTGTGAGCTGCAGAAATACAGAATGAAGTTTCTACATGGGTTTAAAACAACTAGCTCACACCTATGTATGCAAGACCTCGAGCCCAGTTGAAGCCACACAATTTTGACATTATGCAACAACTGAACATGTTACATAACAAGCAAGATACCAACAAATAGATTGAACTGGCTGATGGACAAATACTTTAAATGACTTTACAGTCTGTTGAACAGATTTAGGGTGGTTGTAACCATGTAGTGATTGCCTTGCAGCTCAGAGGGCCCCTAGATGAAGTGGATTATTGCAGGGGTCCCCAACCACCGGTCCGCGGACCGGTGCCAGTCCGCGGAACAAGTCCTACCGGGCCGCTGGTTGCTGGGCGCCGCCATCTTTTTTTGATGAAAAAGTGCTTCCGGTGAGCTTTTCCGGGTAGAAAGCTCACCGGAAGCACTTTTTCATCAAAAAAAGATGGTGGCGCCCAGCTGATGCCGGTACCGGGCCGCGGCGCCCAGCTGATGCCGGTACCGGGCCGCGGCATAGAAAAGGTTGGGGATCACTGGATTATTGGATACCCTTCCAATTGGGTTTCATTCTGGAATATGGAACTGAAATATGCACTTGTGGACAATCTCTGGAGGGAGCTGGACAGGGATCCAAGCTCTCCTTACCTCTCAGCAGCCTTCAATGACATTGACTGTTAAGTTGCTGATGTCTCCAGGAATGAAGAGCTGGAGACACAATGCTCTTTTCCTTTGTCCTGGATGGACTCCAAGCTGTAATGAGGAAAGTTTGCCCCAAAGCTCTTCTTATATAGGATGCCTCCAGGTTTGACTCTCTCCCCATTCCTACTCAACATTTATATGAAGCCGCTAAGCCAGGTCATTTCAATGGTATGGGGTGAAGTACAGTATTATTATGCTGATGATATTCAGTTGTATCTCACACCTATGTATACTTTTTCTCTGAGTCTGTTTTTCAGGCTTTCTTCTCTGTTGCAGTTGACCTTTTGGAACCACTCACTCGCTGTTTCCTTTCCTGAGCCTCCTATGTTTCCCATGGCATGTTGATTTCTCAAATGCCTGTACATTTTCAAAGTCTCAGATTCAATTTCTTTTTTAATGTGTTGCCTTGTATCTGAAAACATGCCCATGTTTGGGTATGTTTTCAGATATAAGGTGTTTTTTTTTTTTACAGATATAAGTTATGTTTTCAGATACAAGGGTATTTGGGGTATTTAAGGCATGGAAGGATGAAAACGAAGGCAACTGTAGGCTTAGGTGCAGATGCCTGTTTTTAATTCTTTCTGCAAAAAATAGCTTCAGCCAAATTTTCTTCCAGTCAGCACCTTCAGTAATTTTGGTTGTGCTGAATTAAGTTGCACTTTCTATAAATTAGTTTCATTTGGAATATTTAGTGACACTCACCTTAGAAGACTGTTTTGGAATGGCAAGCCTATCAATTTTAACATAGGCATACACTGCAGAATGTAATTAGGGTTCTTGTGCCATACATCTCCTGAGAATGCACAATTTAAAAAAGCTAGTGGTTTTCTGGGTATCAATTCATAGTCCTTCCCTAGATAAAGTTACTTAAGTCAAAGAACTGACTTCTACCCAGCAGAGGATAGAATGCTACAATTTTTTTCCTTTGCAATCCCATATCCTCCTTCAAACAACTTGTTCACCATACTGTTTAAAAGCCACCCTTGAATGTATACATATAATACAACACAAACATGGGAATGTTTTCAGATATAAGGCAGCACATTAAAAAAGAAATTGAATCTGAGACCTTTTAGCATAATAATCAATATTTTGTGGTACCCCACAAGAAAAAAATATTTTTAGTTATTGTTTCCAAGCAATTTTAACTTACATTATGAAGAAATAGAATGCACTGAAAGGTGAGCATGACAGCAGCTATTGCAGTTATTTGCACACTCAAACTTTAGTACTCACAGTGGGAGTCAAAACAAACTGCACACATTGATTGTGTATCAATGTTGTATGCATGTATAAAAGCGTAGGGCTTAAACTGTGATGCTGTAACTACAGGTAGTCCTCAACTTACAACAGTTCATTTATTGACCATTTGAAGTTACAATGGCACTGAAAAATGTGACATATGACCATTTTTCACACTTATGACTGTTACAGCATCCCCATGGTCATGTGATTTACATTTGGATGCTTGGCAACAGGTTCATATTTATGACAGTTGCAGTTTTCCGGGGTCATGTGATTATCATTTATGACCTTCTGACAAGCAAAGTCAATGGGGAAGGCAGATTAATTTAACAACCATGTCGCTAACTTAACAACTGGAGCACTTCACTTAACTAACTTGACAAGAAAAGTCATAAAATGGGGCAAAACTCATTTAACAAATGGCTCACTTAGCAACATAAATTCTGGGCTCAATTGTAGTTGTAAGTTGAGGACTAACTGTACAGTGTTGCCTTTTTAGCCCACCCTGCAGAAAGAACCGTGCTCAAGGCTATACAGCAAACAATATGCAAAATTTAACATAATGCTAATTCTATTTTTCTTTTAAGTACCACAGGCCATTTTAATTGACAAGTCATATCATGACAATTTGACAAGCCATGTCGCACTGGATGGACAAAGGTTCTATCACAGTTTGTATCAAAATGTTCTATTTTCATCTTGAATGTAATTTAACACACTAGGCCTCAAAGTTCAGCATTGCTTTCTGTCATTCAGTCTCAATCACATTTCAATGCACTTTAATTAATCTCACTGACCTTACCTTCCTCAACCCCAGTGTATTTTTCTCCAATTCAAATTTTCTATCAAGTTCTTCTTCGTATTCTGCACAAATAAGAAACCTTTAGTTAAACGGCAGTAGCATAATATTATCAGCTGTCTTACAAAGAGGAGCAATAAGAAAAAAATAAATTCCAAGTATTATTAGAATGAAACCCTATTAAGTCCTGTGAGTCTCTTTTCTAAGGGAAGTAAGAGTTATTACATGATACATTAATATATTAGGAATTGTCAGTAAGTAAGACATATGACTCTCACAACCAGTCCAATTTGATCAACTTGTCAATAAGTAAATAAGAACAAAAATAAAACATGAGAAGTTTCCAATTTGTAGAGAAGGGAAAATTTCTATGTTGAGAATCCGCTTACTAAAATTCTACCTTCTATAGACCTCCTGATGCAAACAACTTCTCTCCTCAAAATGCTCTACCTTTAAAAATTTCCAAACAGCAGCAACAATACAATACAAATGAGACTTTTTAAAAATGACATCAGAACTGTTCTAAGAACAGCGGATATCAGTTGCAAATTAACAGTTTTAAGCAAAAAAAAGTTAAAAAAGAAAGATGAGAGTCTGTAGTACAGTATCTTGTAAAAATTTTCTAGCCATAGCAATAGCCTTTTGACTTCTATATCACCTCATAGTGGTTACAGCACACTCTGGGAAGTTTTACAAATGTAGAAGCATTATTCACCTATTGTCGCCTACAATCTGGGTCCTCAGAAGGATGGAAGGCTCTGTCAGCCTTGAACCCTGTCAGGATCAAACTCCAGGCTATGGGCAGAGGGGCAATATAGGCAGTATTTCTCTGAAATAAAGGTATTCCTCAACTTACAACCACAATTGAGCCCAAAATTCCTGTTGCTAAACGAAACATACATTAAATGAAATTTGTCCCATTTTATGACCTTTTTTGCCACAGTTGTTAAGTGAATCACTACAGTTGTTAAGTTAGTAACACAGTTGTTAAGTGAATTTGGCTTCCCCATTCACTTTGCTTATAAGAAGGTCGCAAAAGTTGATCACAGCACTCCAGGACACTGAAACCGTCATAAATATGAGTCAGTTGCCAAGCATCCAAATTTTGATCACATGACTATGAGGGTGATGAAATGGTCATAAGTGTGAAAAATGGTCATAAGGCACTTTTACAGTGCCATTGTAACTTTGAACATCCCTAAATGTTGTAAGTCAAGGATTACCTGTATTGCATTTAACCACTGTGCTACTATGGCTCCTTATTATTTTTTCATTTTTTTATTTATTAGCTGGAGCAAATCAGCTAATAATTGCTTAATTAATCAATACTTCTAATAAGTGGATATGTGCATTTATATTGCCTTACTGATCGCTAAATACCAACAAAGGCAGCTAGAAAAAAGAATTAATGCTTCAGAAATATTTCCGTTTTGGATATCAAATAGATTCTCTCCAACAATTATTCCTTAACAAAATTCCATTTCCATTTTTAAGTCTGGCAAGAGAGAATGCCTCAAAAGTTCAAGCTATTAACTGAGCATAGCTTAGAAGGAAAGCAGCTTTCAAGATGAAGAATTAAACTTTTGATTTATCATCTTTGGTTTTCGGAGGAGATTCTTAATATCTAGCTGAAGAAATTGATCTCTTCAAGAAATGAGTTTTCCTCTTATATTTTTTTATGCCCAAAATACACATTGTCTTCTCTGAGAATATTTTTCCTTTTCTTTTCTTCTTTTTTTTGCTTAGCCTGGTTACCCAGCAGAGAAGAGAGCTGAAAATCAAGTTCATATCACCAATCACTAGGGATCAGTATCTCTAATTACATGTGTCTTTGTCTGACTTTAATTGTTAATTGTACATTTCTTTGGTAGCCATTCCTAACAGAAAATTGCAATAGGGTGTTAAGTGAACTAAAGCATCATCAGGAAAACGAGCAGGATAGAAGCACATAAAATCAAATAAAGACTACAGATTGTTTCATCTTACAAAACACTGACCTACCAATTTTTTTATTCAGTATAACAGAGAGGAAGATGACTTTCATTCAAACACCATCAAAATTACTGGTGACTTTCTAAATTGTGGGTAGATATTGCCTGGTCTGCATAAAGCTTTAACCAACCTCTTCCCCCCACCCAAAATAACAAACAGACAAAGTATGCTTTCTTGTGTCTTTCCCAGGAAGTAAATAATTGTATTAAAAAGTGACTTTCCTAGCATCTAATGTAGAAATTTGCATTTTGCACTAGGACTATAGAGCTGCAGATACATTTGATTTAATGAATGCCAAGAGAGAGTACACGGGCACCACACGTCTTCCAAATCATTTTTCTCCCGTCAAATCTAATTGTTCTAATCTGCAACTCTGGGGCAATTTTTTTTGAAAACCTGTCTGTATAGTTTCTGTTGCCACCTCAGATATGCTCATACAGACTATACAGAAAGATTTGTTTTGAAGGCAATGCCCTTACATACAGTACAGTGAGGAAAAATGAGCATAAATATCTGAGAACTTTAACATCAGCAATAAGAATAATAATGACAGGCATTTATGACATTTCATGGGTACAATAAACACTGGGATAAGCCAAGGAGGAAACAACTAATGTCTATCTGCTAAATTAAACCATTCTCCAATTGTATTACATTTCAAATGGATACTCAAGTTTCTTATTCTATTACAATTACTATTTTGATCCAAATAACCCATCGATGTTCTACTGAAACATGCTCTATTAATGTTCTGTATTACTAGCTTCTTCTTATTCTATTTTGCCTTTTCCATTTTAACACCTTTCTATTGTGCTGCTGAGACAAAATTCTACAACTACAGCTTTCCATTCGACATTATGAACTATTCTGGAAGAAAATTGCATTGCTATTATTAAAGCCCACACCTGGCCATTTTCAAAATAGCAGCAATCATATCATCCTTCTTGTGCTAAAATATTATTGTTGAACACTTATGTGGAGTTTCAGAATAGTCAAAACTAGACTTAGATTCAATCTGTTCCCACAAATTACACATTTCTTGTGATGGTTGAGTTCTCAGTTGAAATATGAGGATATTAAAATAATGAAGGCTATCCTTATCAGTACCTTTATTTTGCTTTCTATACGTAATCAGTTCAAAAATAATTTGAAATGTTAGAGGTTAAAATATCTAACATCCTAATGATAATTGTTTATATAAACCACCTTGTTATTGGATACACTATTATTTCAACATTCTAAAAAGTGTTCTGCTATCTCCCCCTAGTGGAAAAAAATGAAGAATAGCGGGAGTCATTTTTCTGTACAATATTAATTCTATTTATTGGATGCTAGCTTTTTTCAAGAGCTCAGGGTGGCATACATAACGTTCCCTCCTCCTATTTTCCCTTTACCTTGTGAGGTGGATTGGAGTGATAGTAACCAGCCCAAATCCTAAACAATAATACATCTGATACATATAACATTTATTCTTGTACATATCAGGTACAACTAATCCTATTCCAGGCATATTGAGTCACCTAATTCCAACTCTAAAAAAGCCACCCAAAGGAGGAGAAAATTGAACATATGTATTAAAGAATTAGCGCATATCTCATGTCAATTAACTGGCAAGTGACAATATATGTGTTTAATCACTAAATAGAAGCATCCAAAGTTTTGTTCTATAGCAGGGGTGTCAAACTGGCGGCCCATGGCCGGATGCGTCACACACAGACTATGCCCACCCCAGCTCCATGAAGAGAAAAAAGTCATGATATATCATGTGATGGTAATGTGATGCCACAAGTTTGACACCCATGTTCTATAGCAACCAAGAGTCTTAAGGCACAAGGCAATAGCATAGTGCAGAGGTCTCCAAACATAATAACTTTAAGACTTGTGGATTTCAAGTCCCAGAATTCCCCAGGCAACATGGTTGGCTGAGGAATTCTGGGAGTTGACCTCCACAAGTCTTAAAGTTGCCAAATTTGAAACCCCTAGCATAGTGACCTCTGACTGAGGAAAGAATTTTCTACTTCTATTTTCTATTTCCACTCTTCTACTTTCTATTTCCTCAATTGAGGGAACAAGTGTTTTAGGTGCATTAAGACAATCCAAGCCTTACATGCTTTTTTCCCTTGATTTCTCACTGAAAATTGGCAGAAAATTACACAGCACTTTCAACAAATCTTTTTTTGCAATATGATCTCCTGGGATTACAGGAAAAGGCCTGCAATGCAATGGCAGATACTACTTAAGTTATTTAAACCTTTTCAAAGTGGGTGATCTCCAATGTGAACCAATTTCTGGAAGTTTCAGAAGTCATATTAGCTGGGTACCATGTAGAAGTTACTGTAGGGGCATTTTTTTAAAAAATCTTCAATTTTTAGTCTTTTTGGAGAAAGTTAACACAAGTTGTAGATTCATTATGTAAATTGGCTTCCAAGACCTCACATATTTCTGCACCTCACCGTTGCCAATGAGCACCACAATAGATGACATTTTCCCAGATATGTAGCTGCTAAGAATCAACACAACTTGATGGCACATAATCAATTGAATCAAACAAAGCATGAAAAAAGATATGTTGGCACCAGTTATGCCAGCCTACACATTCATCACAAACCCATTTATTCTTATACAGATTGGTTTATGTTGCTTATTTTATATTGCTTTCCTTTTCCATTGTATGAATTACAAAGAATCTTATATCTACTCTCTATTCTAAGAAACAAACACACAAGCAAAATGACACAATGAAACAATCTGCTTGGGACTGTAGGAAAGCAGTTACATATTTTGTATTTTTTTTAAAAAATTCCATTTATTGAAAACTACAAAAGCAAAAAATAACCCCTGAAGTTGAGACTTACCTTGAGAAGCTTGGAAGACTTCATAGAAAGAATAAAAATGAGAACCAAAAGAAAGAAACAAGTAAAGACACAATTCCCATCTAGGCAAAATCTCCGACTGGAAGAACATTTTTAGGCTTCTCAGCACTTACGAGGACATCTTAGCAATACACCTAAAAACAATGAAATAACATGTGTAGTACTTAGTTAGCCCCACATAGAAATGTCAGACAGGACCACAGAAACTTGAGGAAGAATTTCAAATTTTATTTTTGGAGATTTTTCTCCTTTTTTTCATCTTGCAGAAAATGGAAGATGGAAGAGGAAGAGCTTAGGCTTAGAGGTTGGGTTCCGAAGACCCTAAGAAGAGATGTTGCAAAGTAAAAATGGAAGCCATATGCATCTATTAACACAGATAGATGATAGACAGACAGACAATATATCTACAAAATATAGATAGTATAAATATAAATATAATATAAATATAAGTAAATAAGGAAAGACTTTGTTTTTCAACTTAAATTTCAGGACAAAAGATTCCTGATTCCCTCCTCCAAAACTTTATTCAGCTTTTTCTATTCCTAAAAATAAAGCAAAACAATTTGGCCTTTCCTAGAACTTTCTGGAATGGTGGAAAGGGACGGGGAAACATGGTGGATTTCACCCCTTAGCATCTTTTATCATTGATTATGTTGGCTGAGGGTACTGGTGTTTAAGCAACATCAGGGAGGTCGTAGATTCCACATTCTGATCATTAATTATGTGGTTAAGAACAATATTAAAATGGAAACACTAAATTTTAAGCTGTAATATGATGCCCACTTCCCTGAGAGGAAACTCTTCTAAATTCAACAGATTCCCGTTCAACAAATTTTTGATTAAACATGTACAAGTCTGTTACATGGTTATGTAAAAAGAACCCCACTAATGTAGCTCAGAATATGTTCAATTTGTTCACTGTATTCAACAAAGCTTACCTCTTCTTATATGTACACAGTAGGAGGAAAATAAACCTTTTCCTCTCAAAGTTCATATTCGGAAGTAAGATCGTGAAGTGCTCTGAGAAGACTAATAATAGTAGACCAAAATATCCCCATTGTTACCCAGCTGGCTACCAGGCCACAGACAAGCAATATGAGACATTGTAATGTCTGTGAGAATAATCTTCAGAGAAGAGACAAGAGGAAGAGGCACAAGAGCACACAGTAGATACAAACTCAAGGTTAACCGCACCAAACTTGATTGCAGAAAATACGACTTCAGCAACAGAGTGGTCAATGTCTGGAATACTCTTCCTGACTCTGTGGTTTCTTCCCCAAACCCCAAAAACTTTAACCTTAGACTGCCTACCATTGACTTCACCCCTTTCCTAAGAGGTCTGTAGGGGGCGTGCATAAGCACACCAACGTGCCTACCGTCCCTATCCTCTAGTTTCTTTTTATTTTTCTTATATGTATCCATTTCATGTATTCATAACTATGTTTATACTTATACCTATTATCTTGTAAGCGATTGACAAATCAAATAAATAAATAAGAAACCAAGACCAGCGGTCTCCAACCTTGCCAACTTTAAGACTTGTGGACTTCTACTTCCAGAAATCCTCAGCCAGTTTTGCTCTGACCTAGACAACAATATGTTACAGCAAGGGTCTTCAAACTTGCCAAGTTTGTGGACTTCAACTCCCAGAATTCCTGAGCTAACATGACTGGAGGAGGAATTCTGGGAGTTGAAGTCCACAAGTCTTAAAGCTGTCAAGTTTGAAGACCCCTGTGTTACAGTAAGAGAAATCTGAGTCTAAAGCAGGAACGGGGATAGAGAAAGCACCTCTGAAATTATCCTCTCCAGTTCTCTGAAATGAAATGAGGGGGGGAGGTGAACTTGCAACATTGTTACTGCATGTAACCTTACAATAAAGACAGGAGTAGTACTCAGAGGTTTGATTTCCTGGGCTGGACTACCTGGAAGGATTTGATGATCAGTTAGTGGTTGGATCAGTCAATATGTTTGTTTGTTTTTTAAATCAGCCATCCTTCTTCCTGGGCAACTTTCCCCCTGTATTTTGCAGCATTATATCTTGTAAATAATGCATTGCACAAGCAAATATGTATTCTGATTTTACAATACTTTCTACCAAACAAACAGAAGAACATCCTAATTAGTTGATGAACCTAAATGCAGGTTGTATTTGAACAGAGGACTCATTGCACTACCAGAAGTCACACAAAAATGCCAGAGTGTCCACTGTGGCACAGGCTGATCCCAAGAGAGGAAACAGCTGTCCGTGAACACGCCAAAGAGACTCACTTCTAAGCAAACTTGGCTAGGGAGTGCCATACTGAGCACATTTTGCTTTCTATTTGTTGGAGAAGACTCTGTCTTGAGCGTCCCTTGGAGATCAAATCAACCATGTGTTCTCTGGAAGGGCAGCTACTGAACCTGAAGCTCAAGTATTCTGGCCACCTCATGAGAAGAGAAGAATCCCTGGAAAAGACCCAGAGGTTGGGACAGATGAAGGCAACAGGAGAAGGGGAGGGCAGAGGATGAGATGGTTAGATAGGACCCATCAGAGCAATAAACACGAATTTGTGCAAAAGCCGGGAAACAGTGAAGGAGGGGGGAGGGGCTGATGTGTTATAATCCAGGGGTCTCCAACCTTGACAACTTTAAGTCTGGAGGACTTCAACTCCCAGAATTCCCCAGCCGTCCTCCAGACTTAAAGTTGCTAAGGTTGGAGACCCCTGGGGTCGCAAAGAGTCGGACACGACTTAGCGACTGAACCACAAAAATTAAAGCACATTTGCTTTGTCTCAGAGCAACCCGCGGACGGAACTCTTGCTTCCAGAAGCTGATGCCGCCAAAACGGGTGCGGCGCTCGGATACTTTTCGCGGGATTTCTTTTCCCCCTGCACAGAAACGATGCATATTTAAAAAAAAAAAAAAAAAAAAAAAACAACCACGTTTCTTTTGCATTTCATCCGGCACGCAGCCCAGGAGGCCTTTGAAAAGTCTCCGGGCACGAACCTTTTGGTCAGCATCCCGCGAGCAGCCTTTAACTAACTAACAACGCGAGACAAAAACAAAGGCACCAACCTGCCACTTCGCCCGCCTCCTCGCACGGCATTGAACCGGCCTTTCAACGCTTCCGGCTCCGGCCCAATAAGCCGCGACCCCGCCTCTTCTTGGCTGGGGGGCGGGGCGTCCCCCCCCCCCCCCCCCCGCCCCCGCTCCGAACTGCGGCCATTTCACTGGGTCGCTTTATTCGGCTATAAAACGGTGTGAGCCGCTTCTTTTCCGTCCGTGCAGTCGGCGTACAGGAATTAACTCAGGAGCAGCACCTCAACACTCCCTTTCGCCTGTTTTTTCCCCCTGTCTTTTGATACCTGGCGAGGGAGCAAGATAGCCTAAGTTGCATTACAAGAGCGATGGTTTGCTGCAACCTGCAGGTAGAGCTTGCTTACCTGCGGGCAAGCCAAGAGCTTCATTTTTCAAAAAAAAAAAAAAGACTCTGCAAAAACCTGAAATAGCATTGATTCTTAACGTCGATTATCATTATTTTCCTCCATGTTTTCACTGATACTTTTTAAAGATCTGGCAGTCGAGCTGGTGGGAACTAAAAAAAAAAAAAAGTTAAACCTCTGGGGATTAAATTTTAACCGATGTCGTTTTTGGGCTGCTTTTGAAGTTAATAAAATATGAAAGTCGGGGAGCTGAACCTTGTTTCGTTTGGAGTCCTTTTCCTCCCTGGGGTGCGAGGCAGTCCCTTGTTGAATTAGCTGCCTTGTTCAAAAAGCCCAGGCAAAGGTCAGGGACGGTGGAGGGATTTTACTACAGGTTCTGTGGGCGTGGCTTGGTGGGCATGGCAGAGGAAGGATACTGCAAAATCTCCATTCCCCCTCCCCCACCCCACTAACCTGCTTTCCACCTCAGTTCTCCTGTGCAGGGCAACAAATGAAGACCCAGCCAATGAGCTGATACTCGGGAGGCAGAGAATTAGATGGGTGCAGGGCCAGTCAGAGGTGGTATTTGCCGGTTCTCCAAACTACTCAAAATTTCCGCTACTGGTTTTCCAGAACTAGTCAGAACCTGCTGAATACCATTTCTGGTCAGGGAGGAAGTAATGGGAGCTTGGGTCTAACACAAAAGATGGCATCAATTTGAGGACGTTTGCTGTAATCAAATAGTATTCTAGTCCATTTTTTTTGAATGGGGTTTTGTGTTATACTCCTATACAGGTGAAACTCGAAAAATTAGAATATTCTGCAAAAGTTCATTTATTTCAGTAATGCAACTTGAAAGGTGAAACTAATATATGAGATAGACTCATTACATGCAAAGCAAGACAGTTCAAGCCGTGATTTGTCATAATTGTGATGATTATGGCTTACAGCTCATGAAAACTCCAAATCCACAATCTCAGTTGTGCAGAAAACTATCATTGACACCCTCCATAAGGAGGGAAAGCCATTGCAAAAGAAGTTGGATGTTCCCAAAGTGCTATATCAAAGCACATTAATAGAAAGTCATGTGGAAGGGAAAAGTGTGAAGAAAAAGGTGCACAAGCAGCAAGGATGACCGCAGCCTGGAGAGGATTGTCAGGAAAAGCCCATTCAAAAGTGTTGGGGACTTTCACAAGGAGTGGACTGAGGCTGGAGTCAGTGCATCAAGAGCCCCCCCACACAGATGGATCCTGGTCATGGGCTTCAAATGTCATATTCCTCTTGTCAAGCCGCTCCTGAACAACAAACAACGTCAGAAGCATCTTACCTGGGCTAAAGAAAAACAGAACTGGTCTGTTGCTCAGTGGTCCAAAGTCCTCTTTTCTGATGAGAGCAACTTTTGCATCTCATTTGGAACCAAGGACCCAGAGTCTGGAGGAAGAATGGAGAGGCACACACTGCAAGATGCTTGAAGTCTAGTGTGAAGTTTCCACAGTCTGTGTTGATTTGGGGAGCCATGTCATCTGATGTTGGTCCACTGTGCTTCATTAAGTCCAGGGTCAACACAGCCGTCTACCAGGAGATTTTGGATTACTTTATGCTTCCTTCCGCAGACGAGCTTTATGGGGATGCTGACTTCATTTTCCAGCAGGACTTGCCACCTGCCCACACTGCCAAAAGCACCAAAACCTGGTTCAATGGCCGTGGGATTACTGTGCTTGATTGGCCAGCAAACTTGCCTGACCTGAACCCCATAGAGAATATATGGAGCATTGCCAAGAGAAAGATGAGAGACATGAGACCGAACAATGCAGAAGAGCTGAAGGTTGCTATTGAAGCATCCTGGTCTTCCATAACACCTCAGCAGTGCCACAAGCTGATAGCTTCCATGCCATGTCGCATTGAGGCAGTAATTGCTGCAAAAGGGGCCCAAACCAAGTGCTGAGTATATATGCATGCTTATACTTTTCAGAGGTCTGATATTGTTCTATGTACAATCCTTGTTTTATTGATTGCATGTAATATTCTAATTTTCTGAGATTGTGGATTTGGGGTTTTCATGATCTGTAAGCCATAATCATCACAATTATGACAAATCGCGGCTTGAACTATCTTGCTTTGCATGTAATGAGTCTATCTCATATATTAGTTTCACCTTTTAAGTTGCATAACTGAAATAAATGAACTTTTACACGATATTCTAATTTTTCGAGTTTCATCTGTATATACTCCTGTATCTTAGAGAATAGCAGGGAATAACTGGTTTGTTCACCTTGATAATTCCAATAACCACAAGGCACTAATGTATACACAGTCCAATTTAGAACTATATAAAACTGTTGGGACCAATCATCGGGGGTGTTAGGGCTTCTCTATAGCATCTAGATTAGGGGATCCTATTTACCTATTGGAAAACATTGACTGGGTGCACTAATGAGACAATTTCAGCCAATAAACAGGTTGAATCCTGAGAAGATGGAATCTATTAGATTGATAGATCCTGGTTTCAGAGTGATGATGGCTGCCAGGGCCAGAAAATAGTATCCGTGGAATCTGAAAGGACCCAAAGCAAGAAGGAGACAGTGATCGGGAGACATTCCTACATTCACCCAAAGAAGAATTTCCATAAAATCTGTTGGGACATTTGTCAAGGCTGAGATGTGACATTTCATTACGGGAAGAAGAGATAATTCTATGGTGAGCAAGCAACTCAAATCCTTGAAGGAAGAAATTGGGAGAAGCAAGTTTCTGGGGAAAGGAGGAAAGAGAGTAAAAGCAATCAACGTCTGAGAGATAAAATGTATCTAACACTGGTAGCTACAGTTGTATGTTATAATAACAAAGTGTTTACTAGCAACAAATAATTGAGGGTTGGGAAGAATGTATTGTTTAGGCTCACTTAAAATAATTGAGTTAGTATAATATAAAATGAGTTAGTATAATATAAAAAAGAACAAACCCTTAGAAACTCACAGTAAAGTGACACAAATAGCAAACAGCTGTCCTTAGAATAGGAATATCTAGGCAACTTTAAGATTTATGGACTTAACTCCCAGAATTCCCCGGCCAGTATGGGGAATTGTCTGGCTGAGGAATTCTGGGAGTTGAAGTCCATAATTCTGAAAGTTGCCAAGATTGGACATCCTTGATCTAGAGTATTTTGTATACATTTGTAAAGTACTTTTTGAATAAAATTCTGACTTCTGCCTCACTGCCATCATCCATTACAAAACAAAAAGCAAAACCCACAACAACTGATCATTTTATCCAGACTTTCCATTAATATTGGGTGCATGACTTGTTTTCCCATTTTTTTAAATGAAAATGGTTTTAATATATGGTTTTAATATTCTATGTAACCATTTTATTGTACAGTAAACCAGTTTGAGATGCACTTGTATAATAAGCATTATACAAATATATTTAAAGTAAATTTAAAAAATATTATTTTCCATATGATAAACAGCAGGGAACGTGGCTTTGTAGGACTATGGCCTTCCCAGTCTTCTGGCTGTAGTAGAAATGTTTTCTTCCTCAGACATCAAACTTATATTCTGTATCTCTGCTTCCACAGAGAGGCATAAATCAGATAACAGATAACATAATCAGAGTTGGAAGGGACCTTGTACAGGGGTGGGATACGAAAGGGTTAACTACTGGTTTGGGATTTATGAGCTTCCCTGCTGCTGTGAGCACCACTCCTGTAAACATCATAAATCATCATTAGCACCGTCACTAGCATGCTGCCTGCTGAGAAGCAACCTTTGAAACAGCTCTCTTTTCTTGTTTTTTTTACTGCAGCTGTGCCTTGTTCGGCAGCTGAAGTTGAAAAATCAGGAAATAAAGATCAGGTAAGAGCCCAGGTGGGCGGGTGGGCAAAAACCACCCGTTCTATGTCTGCTGCTCTTCAGAGCTACTGGTTCTACAGAGGTGGACAGAACCGGTAGAAACCCACCCCTGACCTTGTAGGTCATCTAGTCCAACCCTCCACCCAAGCGGGAGACCTTACACCATTTCTGACAAATGGCAGTCCAATCTCTTCTTGAAAGTCTCAACTGATGGCGCTCCCACAACTTCTGAGGGCAAGCTGTTCCATTGGTTAATTGTTCTCACTGTCAGAAAGTTTCTCCTTATTTCCAGATTAAACCTCTCCTTGTTCAGTTTCCATCCATTATTCCTTGTCTGGCCTACAGGCGCTTTAGAAAATAGCTTGACCCCTTCCTCTCTGTGGCAGCCCCTCAGATATTGGAAGACTGCTATCATGTCTCCCCTGGTCCTTTTCTTTACTTGACTAGCCAAGCCCAGTTCCTGTAACCATTCTTCATATGTTTTAGTCTCCAGTCCCCTAATCATCCTGGTTGCTCTTCTCTGTACTCTTTCTAGAGGCTCAACATCTTTTTTGTAATGTGGTGAACAAAACTGGATACAGTACTCTAAGTGTAGTCTTACTAAGGCTTTATAGAGTGATATTAGTACCTCCCTTGATCTTGATTGTATCCTTCTGTTAATACAGTTTAGGATTGCATTAGCTTTTGGGGCTGCTGCTGCACACTGCTGGC